CTTCCAAGCTTGGCATTCGCCTGATCCCAAGCCCAGTGCCGACTGGAAAACTACAGAGGCAACACAATGAAGAATTCAGCTCTAAAGGTCTATCAATAGAACTAGCCACTCCAGTGATCCAAATGGCCACACCATACAAAAGCTGAGACAGGACTTTAGTCCTAAAGACTTCAATTGCTAAAGGAACAATCCAATACCCAGCAAAGAAAAAAAAAGTGACAAGCAGCCGCCATGGAGCTGGCCACTAAAAGCAGAGCACACTCTTTGTGAGCTTTCCATGACAGGGAAGCTTGAAAAATAATACCTAGATAAGAAACTGGGACCCTTGCTCAGTTGGCTGATGGTTCAACTTCCAGGAGCGTTGCCTGGGCTGAGAAGTTCTCAGAAAAATCCATAACTTTACATTTTTCACAATTTATTACCAAGTAATAGTTCTGCAATGCCTCTAGCAATCTATGCAGACTCACTAGCGATCAAGATAGAAGGCATCACCTGCACAGTAACAACAGGATTCAGCTGGTAACTAGACAGGGGCATGGGAATACACCACTGCTAAGGCCCCTGCAATATCATTAACATGGAGATTAATTAAGAGAGGAGCCAACAGGCAACACTGGTTCATTCCCAAGGACGAAAGGATGTCCTTAGTCAGTTGCCTCTCAAGGCCACAATGAACACGAGCAGTGGGCTAATAGCTTAAGTAAATACACAAGTCTGCAAATTATGGAAGACCCATGAAGTTTGGTCCACAGAAACTCTCTAGGTATAGAATCAAATGCAGTCCTTAAATCGATAAAGGCTATACAAAGCATACCTCACTTAATGCATTCCACTGCCACTGTGGTTTTTTTCCTAATAGGATTACAAACTGTTTATGGTCCTTAAACCTCTTTAAAAAAATTATAGGTTTCTGTTACTGAGCTTGCCCAGGCAATGGAATTTGAGTATCACGCATTGTTTTATACTGCAACGGAGAGTGGTGTCTTTTTGTACACCTAACAGAAAGCAATACCAGTTATTGAACAAAATTAAGGAAAAGAATATGTTGCCTGGCCGCAACTGAAAAGTAAGTCCCACTAAATTTAATGGTACATCACAGTAAGTATACATAGAGTGTTCATTGGAACATAATTGAGAAAAATGGGTATATGCCAACTAACTGTTCTGGAAATATTATGTATCAGTGAAAACATTAGCAGTAAGAATATGAGAAAGAGGAAATCAAATATTACTATAAAACATTCATAGAGTTATTTTAGTACCATCTCTACTTAATACCATTATTCCAAGAAACCAAGCTCAAAGTGACACTTTATATCGTATTTCCATATCACTGAGTAATCAAATCTGATCTTATTAATTTTTATGTTAATTTTTCTCTTAGTTCAGTGAATGTTTTCAATTTATTCTGTCCTGTTAATATGTACATATCTTTTGTGGAGAAGTTTCCACTAGAAATATTCGTCAAACAGAAGATATAAAATCAAATTAAGTTATAAAGAAAGGGTAATAAACTCACCATGCCCTCATTCGCCTCACCATCTAATTTTTTCCCCCCATTAAACATCAGAGGATTATCGGAGTTTAAGCTGTTGAGGATATTTTCTGCTACTTGGACAGTTGGCTGCAGGAAAGTTAACTCATTTCTCCTGGATTCAGAAGACAGGCAGACCTGGTATGAATATGGCAAAGTTCCATCCTCATAATTGGGAGGAAAAATGGCACCAGTCTTCGCATCGGGAATAAAGCACTGAAGAAAGGTGGGATTCTTTGACTGTCGAAGTTTTATCATAATGGTCAGTGTTACTGTCACAAGGAATAGGAAGGACACCAAGGCCAAGGCCAGAACCAAATAAAACTGGAGATCAGACTGATAGTCTGAGTCACTGGGCTGAGTGTCCATTTCTGGAAGCGCCTCTTGGAAGTTCTCAGCAAAGACGAGGTTCAGAGTCACGGTTGCTGAGAGAGGAGATTGTCCGTTATCCTTCACCATAATGACCAGCCTCTGCTTCACAGCTTCCCTCTCCAGTAATGCTCGGGCTGTTTTGATCTCTCCTGTGTGGGACCCAATGGTGAAAAGAGAAGGTTCTGTGGCCTGCAGCAGGTGGAAAGAGAGCCAGGCATTGTGTCCAGAGTCAGCATCCACTGCCACCACTTTCGTCACCAGATAACCAGATTCAGCTGACCGAGGCACCATCTCAAACAAAGATGAACTTTCAGTCCCTTGGGAAGGATAGAGGATCTGTGGAGTGTTATCATTCATATCCAGAATACATACTCTCATTGTGGTACTGCTATTGAGGGAGGGGGAGCCTCCATCTTGGGCCTGCACTTGAATCTGGAACTCCCTGAATTGCTCATAGTCAAAGGAGCGCTGTGCATAAATGGTGCCAGTCTCAGAATTAATAGAGAGGTAGGAGGAGAGAGGCACGTCTTCAATGTTGCTCTTGAGGATTGAGTAAGTGATTTGTGCATTGTGATCCTCATCTGGGTCAGAGGCCTTGACACTGAAAATGGAAGATCCAGATGGGTTGTTCTCTGGCACATAGGCAGTATAGGAAAACTTTTCAAAGGCTGGAGGGTTATCATTGATATCCGAGATCTGTAGAGAGATGGTTTTGTATGTGGAGAGAGGAGGGATGCCCTTATCTGTTGCTGTGATTGTAATATTGTATTCTGAAGCCCTTTCTCTATCAAGATAACTATCTGTGAGGAGTTTGAAATAATTATCTGAAGATGAAACTATTTGGAAAGGCACAAGGTCTCTAAATTGGCAAGTGACTTCCCCGTTCTCCCCAGAATCTGGGTCATGAACTTTGAACAAAGCAATAACGGTTCCAGGCATGGAGTCTTCAAGAACTGTACTGGATACAGAAGTAAGTACCACTTCTGGAGGATTGTCATTCACATCAAGAATCACAATCTCTGCTTTACAATATGACACTAAACCACCTCCATCAGTAGCCTGAACTGTCAACATGTAAATTTGACTTTCCTCATAGTCTATCATCTCCTTAAGTGTAATGATTCCATCTCGGGGATTTAGGTTGAATTTCTGTCTCACTTTTTCTGGGATTTTGTTGAATGAATAAACAATATCAGCATTTGATCCTTCATCAAGGTCAGATGCTTTAACTTGCAACACAGAAGTTCCTTTGGGTGCATTCTCTTTCAGGTTCACCTTATAGACAGTTTGGGTGAAGATAGGCATATTGTCATTAGTATCAATAACTGTTACCAATATGTTGGTGGTTCCAGTTTTTGCTGGCTTTCCACCGTCCAGAGCTGTAAGGACCAAGTGGAGTGTATGTTCTTTTTCCCTGTCCAGTTGTTTCTGCAATATTAAGTCTGCATATTTATCACCATGTTCATTCTCTTTAAAATCTAGTTTGAAATAAGGAGTTGAGCTCAACTGGTAAGTCTGGAGGGAGTTGATCCCAATGTCATCATCTTCAGCATTTCCAAGGGAAAACTGAGCTCCTGGTGGGCTTGATTCACTAACTTTAAGTATGATATTTTCTTCTTGGAAATGGGGGGCATTATCATTGATATCATCAATGAAAACATGTATGTGGAAGATATTCATAGGATTATGCACAACAGCCTCTAATTTTAGGACACAAGAGGGTGATTTCCCACAAATTTCTTCCCGGTCTATCCTCTCATTCACATACAGGTTGCCATTTTGTTCATTAAGAGTGAAATATGGCTTTTCTGAAGAAATACTGATCTTGCGTTTTGATAGCTCTCTTGCATCCAATCCCAAATCTTTGGGAAGATTCCCCACAACTGATCCCTTTTCTGTTTCTTCCAGAACTGAATAGCGAACCTGCTCAGACCTCACCCGACAGAAAAAAGACAAGAATATGCACAAAAAGAGTACTTGCCTCTTGATCTCCCTTGTTCTTTCTGTGTGTTTAATTTCCATCACCCTCATTTTCAGAGCTGCCTTTCCAGAGTCTAATATTTGTAAGCAATCCATCGCTTGGCTGTAAGAAAACTGAAATTTAGTTCTTATTACCTGATGGCCCCGAGAAAGGAAGAGGATTTCAATTCTGGGGGAGCTTTTAAAATAAAGCAGTTTCCTTCTTCTTTCCTTTTCTGTGTAACAGACGGATAATACTGCAGGAGCCTCAACTAATGATCTAATATTATTCCCATCTTGTCCAACAGCGACACTCTGAGTTCACTGGGAGAACAGCTCTTCCCTGCTTTTTCTGCTCAATCTGTTTAGCATATATTCCATCAAATGGACATGTTTTCAAGATGTAAAGTTCCAGACAGATATTCATGCTTTTATTAAGGAGAGATCCATAGACTTTCCACTTCACAGCCTAGTTGACTGTATGTTGGTTGCAGTGTACACAGCAGAAAACATGGCACTTCTGGATTTCTTAGTAACATATGGTATTTCTATTAAGTTTTAAAATATGCACAGGAATGTAGCACAAGGAGAGACCATTAAAATTAATATACCTAGAAGATATACACTTACAAGAAATATAGCTTGTGAAAATTGCAATTTGATGAACCAGATTTTTGAGCAACAAATACATCAGATGATATATGCTATCTATACATTTAAACTATAATATTTTTTCAAAGAGATTTGGGATGTCAAGGAAGTTATAATGACAGAGATCCTTTGAGATTCCTGCAGTTTGAGAAAGTGAGTAAAGTGGGCATCTTGTTCATTGCCAAGCACACTGTAAGAATATTCAGCTGCAGTTTTATAATATCTGACATGAAGTGCAGTCCTAAATTCAGATCTAAACTCAGTTGCGTTCAATGGAACATTTCCTTGTAACTGTATATAGGATTGTTGCATAAAGCATCACATACATTTCCTATTTTCTAAGTATTTCTCATTAGCTGCTTAATTCTAAAAAATAAAATTTCAGCAGTTGTTGTACATAATTTTATCTACTCTTTAGCAATAAAAAATTTAAATCTGAAGTACAGAATCTTGAAAAAAAAACACAGTACATTGTGAAAAATTTTTAAACGTGAAGTTCAAGTTCCTATTGAGAAATAAGGGGGGAAATTGTTAAACATCATGGGTAGAAAATGAGGATTGATGGAGAGAAAACACACACCCTACAATTCAGTTCACAGACTCCAAGTTTTTAGGAACATGGAAGGAAGTACCCAATACTCCATTTAAAAAAATGAAAGATTGTCATTACAAGAAGGGAGGGGGGATGCTCTGTTGAAGACATCCAGTTGTTTGGTTTTACTTTACCTCTCATGGTGCAACCTACCACCATCTTCCTAAAATAACTTTCCAATATGTATTTATTGCTCATGTGCAATAATCAATTTAAAAACAAAAGCACACACACACAAATATGCAGACATTACACAGTCCAGCACATGAAATAATCTAAATTACTGAAAACAGATAAAAATAAAAACATGAAAAGCATCATCATAACTTTTTTTAAAAAAACCCAACAGCAAGAATAGAAAGGTAGGAGGGGGTAGATAAAATTCTGTGGGGGGTGGGGACAGACACAGTTACAAAGATGCTCAGGAAAATAAAGATGTTTTCACACAGTGCCTAAAAGACTGCAAATCTGGTCCTATGTGATAAACAGTGGACAAGGCATTCCATACTCTTGGTGCCAAAAGAGGACCATCTCTGTGCTCATCCTCCTTGATTCTTCCATTGGGGGCACTCAACATAGGTGCCAAGGACATGATTCTAAGCAGTGGATAGAGTCATGGGCGAGAAGGCATTCCTTTAGATACCATAGTTCCACACGGTGTAGACCGAAATAGATAGGGTTGCCAAATGGATTTTGGCCGGGAGCAGGGGGCTCCCGGCTGGCGTCTAAATCGTGCGCGCGTGCGCGTCACCCAGAAGTGACGTCGCACGTCACCCAGAAGTGACGTCGCACGCGGGGCCATGCCATTTGAGGGGGAAACAAAGCGTTTTCCCCTCAAATGGCAGCCACTCTTTGTTTTCCCCTCAAATGGTGTGGCCCCGCCCCCAGCATGCGACGTCACTTCCGGGTGGCGCGCACGCGGGGGTGGGGTTTCCCCCGGGCCCTGATTCCACGGGAGTGGGAATCGGGCCTTGAAAGCGGGGGGAAATCCGCCCCCTGGGGGGATTTGGGAACCCTAGAAATAGATAATAACCAGCATAAAAAAACTGACAGCCAGCAAAAATCTTCCCAAATGGATAAGATGTGGTCCCTATAACTGACTTCTGCAACCAGCTTTACTGCTATATCCCCAAAATATTTAATATTCTAAACAGGCTTCAAAGGTATCCCTATGCAGACTACACTGCAATTAGCAATGTAATCAATGCACGGACAATCAAATCACCTCTCTCAAGGGCAGGTCTCAACTGACACACCCTCTGAAGCCAGTTAAAGGTACCATATAAAGACAAAGGAGACCCGTGCTTCTAATTCTAGGGTTGGGTCTCACAGCACCCCAAGCCTGAAATTGCTCCTGAAGAGAAAGGGAACTCATGACCAGTACAGGCCTACTCTACAAATTCCCACTGGCAATATTATCAACAAATAGCACCTCAGTCGTATCTGGAACAAACTTACTGGCTTTCATCTAGCTTTCCTCTTTATTTGCAATAAAGGAGAATAAAACTGACCTACTTAGCAACTCACTGAGGACTGCAATCAAGTAATGGATGTAGAGTGATTCGATAATACAATAGGATATACATGTAAATTTACTTAATATTATTTCTCTATTAAGGGTTATAGGACCTTACAAGTCCCCGCAGTTAAATCCCGTTCAAAAGGTTGGGGTTCTGGAGGATTGGCAACTTTTATAACAGTAGATTTGGATGTTGAACTACAAGTATTGGAAAACAGTTGCCCGAGTAATTTTCAAACCATACTAATCAAAGGTTTTAATTTTGGTAATGTTATATGAATTAATGTGTATATTCCTCCAAATAACTCTAAGTATAAGCCTATCGGAAGTTCCTGGGATTCTCTGGGAGCCTCCATTGAAGTCTTAACTTCCCAGTTTCCCAGTTCACATTTTATACTAGGCGGTGACTTCAACGCCAGAACTGGAGCAGGCACCTTAGACACAAGAGCTAGTATGAGCTCTCTAATTGCTGCTCATATTTAATATTATTTACAAAACTTTCTTTCAGCAAGACAGAAGCACTGAAAAGCCTTTTAGTTCATGTGCAGTTCTGAGATAACAAGGGAGTTTTTACTGATGAATCTTAAAAACTAATTCAAAGAAATCCACAGACACGGCTCTATGAATAAGAACAGAAACACTCAGGTTTCTTCATTGATCTTCAGGGTAACAAACGGAACAATCCAATGAGAAATCCCTCCCAAGATTAATACAGTAAATGAAAATCATATTCAACAACTCACCTGGACTACTTGGTCTCCATTGTTAAGATTTAAATCTTCAAAAGTTAGGATAGGATCATTTGTGTCACAGGTCTGTTGACTACAAAACTGGTTTTTCCTAGAGTCTGTGGTGAGAGAAACCTCTTGACAATAAGAGTGAAGAAAAGCTCGCACGCCATCAATACCCACAAACTGTGAGACTGGAACCCCATTGAAATTCATACTCCCAGAATGACACAGCTGAGAAGTTCTCCATCTGTACACCCTGATGGCCAACAACACAAGGAGGAAGGTGAAAAACAAGCAGGAGACAAAAGCCACAGCAACCACCAGGTAGAAGGTGAGGTCCGACTGGGGGTCTGCAGGAGCTGAGATGCTGCTAATATCAGAGAGGCTTTCAGGGATGCTGTCGGCCAACACCACAGTGACCGTGACTGAGGCAGAAAGAGGGGGTTGCCCATTGTCCTTCACTAAAACCACCAGGCTTTGCCTGAGAGCATCCTTGTCCAGAAAGAAGCGGGCTGTCCTGATCTCTCCAGTGTGTAGTCCTATGGAGAAGAGCCCTGGCTCTGTGGCCTTGAGTAACTGATAGGAGAGCCAGCCATTCTGGCCAGAGTCTGCATCCACTGCCACCACTTTAGTGACTAGGTATCCAGGCTCAGAAGAGTGAGGAGCCAACTCGACTCCAGTGGAGCCATCAGTGGGGGTAGAAGGGTACAAGATCTGGGGGTCATTGTCATTCTGATCCAGGATGAAGAGAGTCACTGAGACATTGGAGCTGAGTGGTGGGGAGCCTCCATCTTGGGCCTTAACCCAGAAGTTGATCTCCCGTATCTCTTCATAGTCAAAAGAGCTCAGTGCATAGACAACACCACTTTCAGAATTAATAGAGAGGTATGATGACAGAAGAGATTGAACGTGTCCAGTGATGGTGGAATATGTTATTCTGGAATTCTCTTCCCAGTCAGGATCATTTGCTCTAAAGGAAAAGATGGAGGCCCCTCTCAAATTATTCTCGAGGAGATAAGTTGTATATGCTGATTCTGCAAAGAGGGGAGGATTGTCATTTGTGTCTAAAAGGCTCAAACCTATCACAGTTGCTGTTGAAAGAGGAGGGATCCCATGGTCAGTAGCTGTGAGGGTGATACTGTAGGATGCCACTTGTTCTCTATCCAGGACGCCATCTGTCACCAAACTGTAAAAGTTATCCATGGATTTTTTCAGCTGAAAAGGGAGGCTTGGATCTATGGAGCATGTGATCTCCCCATTGCTTCCTGAATCACTATCTTGCACATTTAGAATGGCAACAACAGTTCCAATTGGTGAGTTCTCGAGGATGTGACTGGTGAGATAGGTTACCTCTAATTCAGGTGCATGGTCATTCAAATCCATAATGAAAATCACAACTTTTGATTTGTCACTCAGGCCTCCCCCATCTTTGGCTTGTACCTCAAATTCATATAAGGATGAATCCTCATAATCAAGGTTTCCTGCAAGAGTTATTTCACCAGTTGTAGAATTAAGGATAAATGTCTGAAAAATTTTATTTGTAATTTTATGGAATAGATATTTTATCTCCCCATTAATTCCTTCATCTAGATCAACTGCTGTTACTGTAACTATTGTGGACTCTTTAGGAATATTTTCTGTGACTGATGCTTCATAGACAGTTTGGCTGAAAACCGGAGCATTGTCATTTGCATCTAAAACAATTACGTGGATTTGAGCAGTGCCAGATCTCATGGGATCTCCCCCATCAGAAGCTATGAGGATCAGATCATGAACTGATTGTTCCTCCCTGTCCAAAGGTTTATCCAACAGCAATTCAGCGCGTCTAATGCCATTTTCATCCACTTGGACTTGCAGAGAAAAATGGTTACTCCCTATGAGTTGGTAGCTCTGCACTGAATTTATACCTAGATCTGGATCTTCAGCTTGAGGAAGGTCAAAATGGGACCCCAATGCAGATGTCTCACTGATTTCCAGCTTCTCTTCCCATGGAGGGAAGTGAGGATCATTATCATTAATATCTAGAATTTCCACTACTATTCCATAAATCTTTAATTTCCTCTCAATAATAACCTGAAAATTCAAGGTACACTTCTCTGCTTGTCCACAGATCACCTCTCTGTCTATCCTCTCTGAAGTTTGTAAAATGCCACTGTTGAAGTTCAAAGCAAAATACTGAATCGTACCTGTCCTGGTAACGATCCGGAGTCCATATTCTGAAAGATGCTTTCCATCCATTCCTAGATCTTTTGCAATATTCCCCACAAAGGAGCCTTTCTGCATCTCTTCAGGAATGGAATAGTGAATCTGCCCGGAAACTGCCTTCCACACAAGCAGTGTGATTAGGTATTGTAGGGTGCCTTTGTTGATGCTGCTCCATTGCTCCTGTGTTTCTCCCATCTCCTTACAGCAAGGTAAGGGATTCTTGTTCTTCTGGTTCTGATTCAAAGGAAAGGAGGTCCCTCTAGATTATTTGTAAAATAAATGCTGTTACTGTTTCATTCCCTGTAATGCCAGTTCAGGTCTGATTTCTCCGCTATTTTGTTCTTGTGTCTTCAACTGCAGTGCTTCATTAACTGGATCTTTTAGGGGAAAAACATTTCCTTATTGGTGAACAGCGACACCCAGAGTCCCAAATGGAAACTACAAATATAAAATACATAGTGAATTTCCATGAACCAATCCTTTTTTTACTAAAGGAAATGCTTTCGAAGCCCCAATAGTACCTGTCTAATTTTAGTGATGAAAAAAATCTTACCAATCCTTTGTCTAGATTAGAAATGGCTCTGCAGAAAAGCATGTAAAATGATGGCATGGTTCTGTTTATGTTGCCTTACTTGTCTTGTTTCTCAGAAGTAACCCATCGGCCCTCACAGGATTCTAAGATACTGGAGTAGTAACTGGGCATAAAATCTCTGCTATCCTGAAATGTAGATGGATCCGCTGATGTAGTGTAATGTAATTTGATGTAATTTAATATTATCAGGTTTTAAGGACACAAGATAATGAGATCAGCTGTGCTGAATCAGATTAATGGTCTGCCTCATCTAGCATCCTATTTCATGTAGTGGCCAAGCAGATGCCCATGAAAGGCTTATTTCCATGGAAGTGCTTTGGAGTATCTGGGATGAACTTTTGTGCTTATACATCATTTATGAGCATGTGTTGTCCACATATGTAAGAAGATATTTTGATGGGAAATTACATAAATAAGCTTTTGCTTATCGGGACTTTCTTTCTACTTTTTCCCTCGATAACTTCAGCTAGATACATCCTCACGTTTACCTTCCTTTGCAAGTGAACCAGATATGAAATAAATATGTATACTGCATGTGTTACTGTCAGATGAATGATCAAAGACAGGACAGCAGCTGATAAAGGGAGGTATAAAAAAAGGAGAAGGGAGGGTGGAATACAAAAAGCAGTGCAGGAAAAGCAATGGAAAATACAAACAAGTATGGGACTAGAGCTTGTTGGGGAAGGTGAGCTATCCATGAGGGAAGCAGGGGATGCTGGCCCTTTGGATCAAATGGGCACTGCCCCACCAAGCTTAGCTGTCCCCTGGCCCACCTGCTTGCTTCTTCACTTACCACCAGCTGGAGGGATGGAGGGCAACTATATGGTCCCAGTCTTGTCTTTGTGGAACTTGGAAGTAAATCTCTCCCTTGAAAACATCACATGTAGAACTTTTCCTTCTCAAAAAGGCAGGTGGTGAGGAACGAAAGGCACTCCATGGGCAGAGACAACTGGATACTTAGAAGCAGTCCTGCAATTACTTATCACCCTCAAGCAACTGGTGACAGCCTAGGAGGCATGCGCTCTGCCTTCTTTCTTGAAGCTCTGCTCTAAGCTTTCACCATCTCCTTCCGCAGAGCATGGGTGACGCGGGAGGACTGATAGTAACCATCTGGCCTTCATCTGTTGAGACTGGGCTGGAATGTGCTGGTGAGTCAGCATCACCTGTTTTCAATGAGCCAGTCTTCAATTTTTCTTGTGTGCTGGTTTCTGCCGATTCACTGCTGCTTCCCTAAAGTTCAGTTTCACCCGAGCAAACCCCTTCTCTTAAAGCATCCTGTTTGTTGCTCTGTTCCAACTGGAGGTCAAGCTGGGGTTCAGGCTGACGCATGACGATTCCCCATTTTTTCCTCCTCCCACATGCTATGTTCCTCCCCCACCTCCAACACGTTCTGTGCCAACTTTTTAAAATCAATAGTTTGTATATTACTATAGTCTAAAAAAAACCTTCTAATTAGCATACAAATCATATATAATGACCTTGCAAAAAATATCAAACACATATATACAAAAACAGTCACTGATTTCATTACCACTCAGAAATACATAGGGTACAGCCTGAAAGTTATCATTCCAATACATGATGAACACTGACCATTACTCTAATAATCTATCAGAGGCATTATGCAGACTGTTCTTCAATCAACAGTGGATTTTATTTTTATAGCATGTTGCTTCTACACAAAATTTAGCTGTTATTAACAAAATAAGGAAAATGTCTATGTCTAATTCTTCCCCCATCCCTCTCAGCTACCATAGTAATATTTCTTTAGGATTCATAGTTAATAATCTGTCATATTATACAAATCTCATTTATAATACAGACCAAAACCTTTTAATCTGTGGACAATTCCAAAATATGTGAAGATCCATCTTGTTAGCCTTACACCTCCAACCTATGTCTACAGAATTAGAATAAATCTTTGATATGATACAAGATACCACAGAAACTGTATTTTGATAAAGCTTTCCTTCACGTTTATTGACATTAATCTTGACCAAACATTTCTCCAAATCTAGTGTCAGTTTGTGGTATCTCTAGTGCAATATCTTTTCCTCATACAGTCATGAAAATGATCTAGATTCAACAACATTAGACAGTATTCAATACTATCTTATTAGATAAGCCATCCTCCATCGTTCTCACAAGCTCTGTCTTACTTTTTAATATGGACAGTTCTCATCTATTCAAATCAAATATGGTGAAGTTACAAACAATGAAAAATTATAGGTCTTCTGTCCATTATTTCTATAATTTTCTCATATGATAGGAAATGCCCATCTCTAAAAAGATCCTGTTAAGTAGTCAACTTATATACATCTCCCACAGCAAAAGAGTCAAGTAAGTGTTTGTTACAAAAAACCGACAAACCCAGATGTAAAACTGCTTTCTTTCCTTTTCTTTCTACACTAGAAGCTCATTGATATATAATCTCGAGCAGCTGAAAATTTCTAGATGTTCTATTTGGAAACAATAAAAAGACTGATACAGGACTGAAACTGTTCCCAAATTATGATGGTCTTTAGGTAAGGTAACCTGAGGACCTCTATATCATTCTTAAAATCAAACTAGGCTACTTAATGAAGGATTCTAACAGGATTCCAGTAACAAGTAACAAACCAGTCACCTAGTTCTGATAGCCTAGCAACCTTATAATACGTTAACAATAGAGATATTAAAAACTTTTTCTGTTGGTTAATAAAGGGTTTTCATCATGATTCTAGACGGTTTATCCATCCCTATAAACTTCAGGAGCAGTTTTGCCACATATCGAGGCCCCCCATCACACTGGGGGGAAAGGTGCAGCTGAAGTGTGGCTTTTTTGAGCCGCATCAAAAGAGAAGCGCGGCGGCGGGATCAGACAGATCCCCCCAGCCGACGCGCAGTTCCTCCCCGGCATGATCAGATGCCAGGGGGAAGCCACGGACCGGAGAGCGAGGCAAGCCCACTGCGCATGCATGTGCATGTGCAGTTTGGCAGGACCTCGCATGCTGCGGGAGAGACAGGCGTGCCAGCGATCACACGGCCGCCCCTGCTGCAGCTTTTCTGGTAAGTACTAGTGTTTTGTAGGGGGGGTGGTTATCCGCATCTTCGGCCGGAAGAGACGGATCGGGGAAGGGTGCGTGCCGCTTCCCAGATGCTGCGGTGTGATCGCGCCTGCTTGATGCCCCCCCCTGATCCGTCCCTCTTGCAGATCAAAGCCTCCAGTGTGACCAGGGCCTATAACTGCCTTCACAATCAAAAGACTATTCAGGAATAAAAACAATAGTATTGGCAATACATTAATCTTTATTAGGGGTGGGCACAAACAGGGAAAATGTGTTTGGTTCATGGTTCGTGGCCAACCCACAAACCAAACCAGGAGGTCTGTTTGCGAACTGAATTGGTTCTTTGCCCTGCAAACCTCATTGAAAGGGACCGCAGTCCATTTAAATGGGGTTTGCAGAAAGCTGCTTGCTCCCCACGGCTCAGCTGTTTTTGGTTGTCTTGTGCAGTCTCTTTAAACTTTAAAATATCTTCAAGAAACAGCCCAAAAATAGCTGAGCTGGTAGGAGCAGTCTCCCTACTGCCCCAGCTTTGGGCTCCCTTGCACAACCCCATTTACAGGGGCTGTACAAGGGAGCCCAAGACAGCTGCCCCAGCGGTGAGACTTTTCCCTGTCAGCCCAAGACAGCTGAGACACTATGGAGACTTCCCCCTGCCGGCCCGGCTTCAGGCTTGCACAGCTCAGATATCTTGGGCTCCCTCGCGCAGCCTCCCTTGGGCTCCCTCGCGCAGCCTGATGCTAGGCTGGCAGGAAGAAGTCTCCCTGCGGGCTCAGCTGTCTTGGGCTCCCTCGCGTAGCCCCTTTAAACGGGGCTGCATGAGGAAGCCTGAAGCTGGGCCAGCAGAGAGATTTCTCCCTGCAGGCTCAGTTCCATTGGGCTCCCTTGTGCAGTCTCTATTAAAGGGGCTTTGCAGGAGAGCCTGAAGCTGAGCCAGTGGGAAGACTTCTCCCTGCAGGCTGTGCTCTATTGGGCTCCCTTGTGCAGCACCTTTAAACGTGCCCGTTTAAAGGGACTGCACAAGAGAGCCCAAAACAGCTGACTGGTGGAGAGACTGCTCCCCGCCTGCTCATCTCATCTCTTTTTCGAGCTGTCTTCTGCAGACCCTTTGAAATTTAAAGGGACTGCATAAGGCAGCCTGAAACAGCGGAGTGGCGGGAACGTCTCTCCACCACTCAGCTGTTTTTGCAGCTTTCTCTGGGAACAGAAAGCAGGGGTTTAAAGGGACTTGGAGTCCCTTTAACCCTTGCTTTCTGCTCCGTCCACAAACCATGCCATGAACTGCCATGAACTGCTTTAAAAAGTTGTGGACGTTTGTGAGGGTAGACCTGTCACAAACTTCTATTCGCAAACCATGAACAGAGCCAAATCCGTAATGAATTTTGCTTTGTGGTTCAGCTCACGCCTATCCCTAATCTTTATCACAGATACCCTGCCAAGCTACGAAGCATATAACATGCTCCTAAAACTCTGTTTGCCATTTATCAGTTTTTGATAGTTAATAAAGGATAATTCCCTAAACTTCTCTGTAATTCACACTCACAAATACAGATACGGCC